GAGATTTCAAAACAGTTCATCCAGTTGATCAACATACATCTCTAGGAAGGTTTAGTGACGAAAGGATCATCAAAAGTATGGAAGAAATTTTCTAGTACATTGAAAATTCATCGGAATGCCTTTTTGAAATGGCGGAACTTTTACACAAAGTGAAAAATTTTATTCCTGCCGGTAAGACTACCATTAAGCACCTTACAGAAAAGTATTAAGATATTACTTACTATAATTTTGTCTTTGTATGGTAAACATTTCTCTTATAGCCTTATTTTTTTTTCTCCTCTTTCTCGTTTTCTCAATCTAAAAAATAAGGTTAGGTATGACAATATTTTTTGATTATGTTCTATGATACTTGTTGAATAAATATTTTTATCCATGACAACGATAAAATACTTGCTTTGCAGCATCAATTAATGAGAATTATGAGGACCCAGTAGTCCAACCGCTGCATGGAGCCTCCTGGAGGCGCGACGGCCCATGTCGCACTCTGCATACTTGCGACCGTTTTTGAAAGGTCCCACGGCGTACCACAAAAAACTGTTAGGACCATTCCTCTTAATTTAATGAGGAATAACATTATGACCGTGAGTAAGTAAGTAAGTTAGGGCCGGGCTGACCGGCGAGGCGCCCTCAAGGGGCCAAGGCAACTGGCAGGAACCCTGCCGTCGCGTCGTGCACCCCGAAGTTGGACAGTGCTCATCAACTACGTACTATTGACACATTCTGTTTACTCTTTGTTCCCGCAAGGCTCAGAGGCCGTCCGATAGCCAACGGTAAGTCTTATCAAAGACTGTGGCAGACGCGTGCAGCACGGATTTTCGGAGCACGGCCATGCCTCCAACGAGTTGGACTAGGTTGTTTCAATCTCCACTGATAGGTAGCTCTGGCAGTCGCGCACACTAGGAGTGATCACCGATTTTTTCACAACCCAGTCGAACAGCTCAGACTTATTACTTACTGGGTGACTATGTCCCCCTTATACCCAGTTACCTCGAAGAATCAGTGTTGGAATGGCATAGTCATCCAAGATCACGATAGTCACCTCCATGGATTGAACGCGGGACCTCAGTGTTGGCAGCATACCACCTTGACCACTACACCACTCAGGCTGACTGCATAATGACAGAATTGTTTTCGGTCTTGAGTGTTGGTTTTTCCGAGAAACCACCGAGAAAGGACATTTCAAGGTAATTTTAAGGAGAAAAATCAATCTGGTTGAAAGGGGGGAGGGGTGTGTTCTAAAAAAAAATGGAACATGGTTCTTATGGGAAAGGACCCCGCACACCTCTTATGGGAAGCTGCACCACGACCGATTGCCTTCTGACTTATGTATTTCGATTCTCCTCAAAAGGCTGATTAAAAGTTATAATTGCGCCAACTTTCTACGATGCACCGTTTTCGCAAAAAATCAAAGCAAAGATTCAATTATTCGGCGAATATGAATAAAAAAGAACAAAGCATTTGAGGACAGGCCCGATGTAAATAAGGAAAAAACGTAGCGCGAGTCCGTCTTCGTATCTGTACCTGCCGACTCAGGGGCTATCTCCCTCCCGCACTCGCCCGGTAGACGTTCAGACTCTCCTGTTCTTATGCTCCTCAAGAATCTGATTGGGATGGTCGAGCAAAACGGCGTACGGAATCTGAGATAAGACTGCCGCTCGGTGCGGGAGTCCCCATGATTTCCTTGTTGACACACAGCCGCTTATCAATCGAGCACTGAAATGAGGAATCTTTCTAGCTTTTTATCACCGAATAATTGAATCTTCTCTTTGATTTTTTGCGAAAACGGTGCATCGTAGAAAGTTGGCGCAATTATAACTTTTGATTGGCTTTTTGAGGAGAATCGAAATACATAAGTCAGAAGGCAATCGGTCGTGGTGCAGCTTCCCATAAGAGGTGTGCGGGGTCCTTTTGTCAGGAACAAAATCGCTGTTATGACATTTATCCCTATTTTGCGGGGTTTTTTTTCGAGATATTTCGCAAAAACCGATTTTTTTGGGCCATTTTGGGCCCTTCCCTCCCCCCCCCCATCGGAAAGCTCACCTCCTAATCTCGCGGACTTTTCTTTGGGATAACAGCGGACCTAACTGAACCCAAAAACACAAAAGTTGGCCGCCTTGCAATTTTTCTTTGTTTACATCGTGCCTGGACTATTAACAAACTGGGGGATCATTTTAAGGATCTTTAGATGGAAAGGGGCCCAGAGTTTCGAGACAATAGCACAGAAGACAGAATAGTTAGCAACTTGGAGATTCATAATTCTGATATAATTGAAGCGGTTAAAGAGCTAAAATATGGCAAAGCACCAGGTCCAGGAGGAATTTCTTTCAAGTTGGTTAAAAGCGGGACTGCCAAGCTCTTAAAGTGCCTCAGTAAATAGAAGCAACAATGCATCAGGGGTGACGAGGTACCAAGAGAGTGGAAGGACTTCTGGATTAGGGCCATCTGCAAAAATGAGGGGAAGAAAAATTACTGTAACAAGTACCGGGGGCTCTCAGTGACCGGGACAGTACGCGCAGTGAGGGAAAGGGTACTGAAAGCGAAGATCAAGGACTGTGTGACATGAAGTAGAGGAGCAGATTGCAAGAGAGCTGACAGGTCCAAGATAGATCAGCTGTTGGTTATTGTCCTCGATATTGAGAAGAAAATTGCCGTAGCTTAGGAGCTGCATTTAATTTTTGTGGATTTCCAGAAAGCGTATGACTGTGTGCCGGCGTTGGTACAGCTTTGGGAAACCTTAGAAAAATCGAACTTTAACAGAGGGTTAATTGACACTGTCACGCGATTTTATGACGGGAGTTTTTCAAAAGTTAAGTGTCAAGGGGAGTTGTCAGGGGGATTTTATGTGACCAAGGGTTAAGAACAGGGATGTTGTCTGTCGCCGACATTATCTAAAATATATCTCGAGTGCGTGCTATAAGAATGGAAAAAGGAAATGTTCTGGTATGGGTGTCCCCTTGGGTGATTTTAAAACTCTGTTCAGTCTGTACTTTGCTGATGACCAGGTGGTGATCGTTCAAGATCAAGATGACGCTGCGTACATGATGCGTAAGTTGGTGGCGGAGAAGTGACGTGAAGCTTAGAAGTCGGTAGATCCAAATCTGAGAAACTGACTCTGGCAGATGATCAACAAAGCATTGAGTTGGAGGATGGAAAACAGATAAGAGGCTGTGCAGATTATAAATAGTCGGGAGTACGGTTGGCCCTTGATGGAAGGACGGATCAGGCAATTAATGAAAGAAACACTCTAGCAAGGAGGGCTATAGCTATGGTAAATGGAATCCTCTGGGATCAGTGAATTTCGAAGGACAACAAAAGGAGAATTTACAAATCTGTAGTTCATAGTATTTTAATGTACTATGATGAAGAAGTAATAAAGTTTGGTAGCTGAAGAAATGGATAGGGTAGGTGGGGGTAAGAGTACGCACGGGGTAAAAGCACGCACCGCGCTTTTTTCACGTGCTTTGTTTGAATTTATGATTGCACCGGGTGTTTGTTGTTGGCAACATTGAGTTTCACTTGTTGACGAAGTTTTGTGTGAAGTGGATGTGTTTTGACGGAATTATGAGGCAAGTTCACTTTTCATGCGAAAAGATCGATTTTTTTAGTATTTGTATTGTTTGTTGTGAGTAAAATAGTAGATAGAGAAAATCTGACAGGCACTGTTTCAAAGTGTTATAGTGTTGGCTTTAATAATCCGTGGTTGTTTTCACACCTTGGGCCTTGGGCTCAAAGTTTTAGTTTATGTTGTCCAGTGTTTACAAATGGGGCAAGAGTGCGCAGCCAGAATGGGGCAAAAGTATGCACCCAAAAGTGGGGCGTAGTGGGGGAGGGGGGTATAGGAACTTCAAAATAGAAGATGTACCTAGGCAACTTAGTAAGTATCTTCATACATTTTTATGCTCCTTTGTTTAATTTGGGCAATTAAACTTTTTTATTTTCCTGTTTAAAAAAAATTTACTTCGAAAATTCTTTGGGAGCTTGTTGAGACTGAATTATTTGTTTTTTTTTTCCACAGTAAAAGTGGTTAGGCACTATTGGCACCCTGTAAGACCAGTTTCAGTCGTTTTCCGTGATTTAATAGCGATTTGGAGCCCAGGAGATGTTTTTAAAAGAAAAATTTCACCTGCTTACTTTTGCCCCACTAAATGGGGCAAAAGTACGCATTTTCAATTTTTTCAAAAAATTCGTCACGGCCATAGATTTTATTTCTAAATTCGGACAACGCAGGGCATTTGTGCGCAAGACCTTGCAGTAGGTGCCTGACCACTTTTCCCGCCTTAAAAGTCGATTCGGTCACGAAAATACGGGAAAAACCAAAAAATGCGTACTCTCATCCCCACCTACCCTACAGAATTTGCTAGGAGCAACGGAGATGGATTTCTGGAGGAGAAATTTCCAGGCAAGGTCGGGTTCGTAATGATAGAATGTGTCAGATCACAGAGATCGAAAATTACATCGTGTTCGACGTCATGACCAAACAGTTTTACCGTCCTTTTAACAGGATGATGGAAGAGAAGTAGCCAAAGAAAATGCTTGATTGGGTTCCTTGGAGGAGGAGACGAATGGGGCGCCTAATGAAAAGACGGGAACAGGGGGTTTTAAATTAAATGAGGGAGTGCCAACTCCCTGACAGTTTGTGGGAGAACCGAGTAGTGTGGCGGCTAGGCATCGCAGAGTGCCAGAGAGCGCTGTGAAAGTAACTTTTATGAATGTAAGTAATTCATAACTCATTTTTAAGGAATATAAATTACTTTGAAGACCCTTTAGCCATTTCTCTTGGTAAGTCACCCTTTGCATTTTATGACTGCTGATAGGGCTTTGGGTTTAATTGGTGTTAACATTTTATCAGCCATCACATATTCAATTCCGTTAAAATTTCACTCCCATCGACAAATTATCAAAAAGTCGACATTTTCTAAAATGTTCAAGAATAACGGAGTAGGGACATATTTGCTTTGAAGATGTAAGATCAAGGGCATAGACTAAGAGAAGAAACTTACGGAAATGCAGCCATCGTTGCCAACTTGATGAATAATTCTTTTTGAGACCCCTTCCGCGATGAGAAGTCATGAGGCTGCGGTAAACGATTATTGTCACAAAACAAATTTGGTTGACAGATGTAATCTTGCGAGACAGCAGTGAGATCAGATTTATTGCTTACAATCATGACAGGTACATGACTACCGACAAAGTATTTCTGAAATGGCAAATAGAGACAAAATATCATGTTATTGAGGTCTAATGACTAGGAGCGGTAGCGACCCCGTCAAGCCTACAGAGATCTCTAACAACGAGAATGGGAGCCGCTACTGTATCTTACACGAACCCCTTCAACTTTTGCGTTATTTTGAGATATCTCCGCAAAAACTTAATGAAACTCAAAACCCTTTGCACTCTGGCAAGCATATTTTATTCCTCGCCTACAGGCGAAATTTGGAGCTAGTTCATTACGCAGTTAATTAATAATCCCTAATTTACTGCCGTTTTTTGGCCACTCTTTCAAATCACCCGCGCCGTATCACATTCGTGCCTCGGAATTTTGACTTCAATCGGCCATCCACATTAAATATAAATGTGCTGTAAACATTTATGAAAATCATTGCAACTCATCTCAAAAGGTTTAAACCAGTGCATAGCCATCATTCCTTGAATTTAGAACGTGTTTTTGCATTATTAATTTTAAGAAAGTTCAACTGATCAAAGTCGTTGTTTCATTCAATTCACGACTATTCACGACGCACCGCCAGTGCTGCCAGTGTCATGGCGTCAGTTAGCTGCTCAGTGCTCTGTCACTGCTCCATGTAAATTTGTCTTGAAAAATTGTCTGAACCCTTGGAAAGAATCTCATCATCATCTTTAGAATAATAAATAAGTAGCTATTATTCTATTTCATCAGTGAACAGAGTGAATCAAGTGAATTCCGGCCGGTGAATTCTGAATCACGACCCTCTTTTCCACGCTTGGAGAGAAACTGACATTAAAACATAGATTTGCGTTAATCACTCATTTTCCGATTTGTTGGTTTACCTATTAACAACTGGTTTCTAAGAATTTTGAATTCCCTGCCGTCGTGACTTCGTGCCGGATAGCTAGTTGACGTCACAGTCAAGTCAATTCAATTAATGTGTCTTTTTGCTTTTAGGTTATCGCGAGATGTAAACATACCTACACAAACTAAACTAATAAATAATTTACTGTTGTTATTTCGAAATGCAAACTAAATCATACAAATGAAACTTCCCTTTATTGTTCACTGCTATCTCTGAACTTGGTCTCTACCTTTATTACCGTGCTACAAGTTCTGTGTACCTTCCTCCATCTGTGGTTCATTTGTTCGCAAGCAAAACTGTAAGTGCCTATGACAAGTGAATTTTAGTACCCTTATCCCTGCGGAAATCTGTTCGATGTCAAAAAATCCTAGTAATCTGGTTTTGAGCGAGACCCATATCAAGGATTTAAAGGCAGCGTCAGTAGTTTTAGCAACAAATCTATGCCGAGTCGGATGCCAAAATTCTACTTAAGGTATGTGCTGAACTATTTCAATGTGTGTTACTTAATATCAGAAGCAATATTTGCTGAACCATGCCAAACCACAGTGACCATGCAAAATCTATCAGCAGCCTGAATGTTGAATTTTTTTGTTTGTCATCACGACATAGATGACATAGGTTAAAAGGCGGAGCGAGATTAGTCGGCTATGTCTTATCGATGCTTTGACGTGCCTTTGTCAGGTGGAATGGATGGCATACTGTCGGAAACTTGAGAGGTGCCGGTAGCTTGTCGTTAGTTCAACACGACATAGGCACGACAAAGCAGCGATAAGACATAGCCAACCAATCCCGCTCTGCCTTTTAACGTATGTCATCTATGTTGTCCCGACAAACAAAAAATTTCAACAATCAGGCTGCTGGCTACTCTATCTTCAAACCCTTTAGAACACTCTAATTGTGTGTTGTGATAGTAACGCAAATTATCACGATAGTGCTCAAACCATAGTATAGTTTCAGAGAAGGCGTATGTTGATAAATACATGCTAGTTATAAAGGTTCATTCAAGAAATTTGCATTGCAATTTTCAAGTTTCTTTGTCTTTCCTTGCTCCCATAGAATATTATAAGCAAAGGCGATCTCCGCGGACATTGCTACTATAGCTATTGAGTCTCGAAGCAAATAGCGGATGGGGCAATGTATTTGCACTGAACGGAAGGAATTTAAGTGATACTCTATACTACACACTGCTAAGATCTCTATTCTTACTCACTTTGATTTAATATGCTGCTGAGTGAGTAATTGAAATGTAAACACATCAGAGCTCAGCGCGCGAATGGCACATATGTTACGGGCAACGTAGGGATGTAGCATCTTCGACGGTGCCCAGACATCCTCGATGGTGCCCATACCTACATATACTATGGAAACGCATACCTATCTCCAGATTTTCTCTTAGTAGCTACATTCTGTAGGTGGGACCTAGGAGGTTTATTAGCGTAAAGTTTATTTTGAACTGTCCAAGGCGGTATTACTTAAGGATGCACTTCAAATTTAAGAGTTCAGCGAATGAAATTGCTTGCTTCTTTCTCTATAGGTATCTTTATGGATTGGAGGGGGAATTTACCCATGGGCCTTTCAGCTTAGTTGCTCATAAGAGTATTTTGGTAGTTTTTACTTCACTTGCCTAACTTTACGATCAAAGATTTTTGTGCTCACAATACTCTGAGTAATCTGATGTTCGTAATAAAACTGTGTTAACTTACTCATTACACATTACCTGCTCTCCAAATTTTTAACAATAAAATTTTTGTGGCCAGATTCTTCAGGAATGTTTCCAATTTCAAAATACCTAAGGGCTTTCTGTTTCTCATTAGAAAAGTAGATAAGTCAGTGGAAGTAGTTCATAAGGATCATCATAGCAATGTGTCTTTTCAGTTTTAAGTACAATGTTTAAGTAAACTATTTCATTTTGAATAAATAAGGACTCTGACATTAGAATTTTCTTATGCTCATCTTTGAAGTATTTTTTAGCCTTTCAAAGCTTACTGATATCATTGACTTTCAATGACTTCATTTGTCAATATGTACATCCAAGAATTCACATGACTGCTAGCCTTTGACATTCATAACAACCTACGATTAAAATAAGGTAACTGCTCCAACACATATAATGTGCAGGAAAAAAAATTTCTTGCAAATTATTTGCTAAGGATATTTTATTTAATTTTGTTTGAGAGATTTACCTCCTCTAAATTTTTTGAGAAAATCAGTTTGATTTCAAAAGTAATTTTTTTAATTTGAAAATAAATTGGAGCACATCTTTCAAAATATATTAACTGATCCCTGTTGGAATTATTCTGTGCGGAATCAAGCAGAGGTTATTCAAAGGTAACCAACTGTAAAATTTTGGATACTCTGATTAGGTAAATGTCATTCAAACCAAAGTGGACCTTTTTTTTTTTTTTTTTTTTTTTTTTTATTTTTTTTTTTTATTTATTTTTTTTTTTAACCTAACATAGTTTTTCAAGTCATTTCCTTAGTTTAAGCTTCACCTCATGACTCCATTTAAAGAGGATTAATGCAGGCATCATAAATGCTACCAGTATTTTATTGTGAGTGCCTGTATTCAATTTTGTTCTCCCTGTCTTTAAAATTTGGATAGAAGTATTTTTCATCTCTAGGGGAAGCATAACATCAAGAAGGAACTTTGTTTGTAATGAATCCTTATCCACCAATATTCATAGCTTAACATTTTCCTCCCTTTTATTAGGCGTCTAATGGTCTCAGCATGAGCAGAAAAACCAAAAATAACTGATATAACCACAAAAAACCCTCAAAAAGGGTAAAAATTCCGCCAAGCCTATGAGATCTTATCACAAAATTAGTAGGTATTTATCTTAACAAATTTTAAAAAAGGAGAGGGGGGGATACTAATCTCTTGAAAATTACAGAAGGAGAAAAGAAAAGCAACTCAAATTCTGTTTTCCATTTCAAACCTCAAAATGTCGGATATCATTTGAGGTCAAGATTTTTTAAGTATAGGTACGCCCCAGAACTAGAACGAGCAAACGGGAAATTAATTCTGCTTAGAATCCCCTTCAGTTAGTCTCGGACGCAACCAGCTTACCTTTGAAGCTAGTTTGGTTGCCTGGGTCACTAATACAAGGAAAGATAATTGGATTTGCTTCCTCCGAGAAGATGGCAAGGGATAAAATAAGCAGTTCTTTTTTCAGTCTCAAACCTCACAATATTTGATATCTTTTGAAGTCAAGATTTTTTACCATCTCCTCATCTCACTTTCATTTTCGTTTTGCATTTTAGGAAACAAATTCCGCTCTTATACATCATTGAACTTTCTTTAATTTTTCGCTAATTATTCCCCTTCATTTCAGGTAGCCGCAACTTTTCTTACCTTACAATAGCTATGTAAGGAACCATTGTATAATACTTACGAGACCTTCCTCGTTTAGATCAAGAATAGAATAAATGTTTTCAATTCAGATTCTGGCACACTCTTTGAAAATTGAAAAAAGAAGTCAGGTAGATGAAGGTAGAATTTTTAAAAAGAGCCGAAAAAAATTAGCTAAAAAATAAAAAATTCTAGCGAGATGGTCCTGATACGTATCATTTGAGTGTCAGCTGCAGCCTATCTTCTTTTAGACATCAAGGTATAGCCTCAAGCATTGCAAGTAGAACAACAATGGAAGGATTACTTGAATGCTCGAAAAAACTCCTCTTAAATTCCAGCTAGCATTTTAAGCTTATGAAATTAGTTTCGTGGCAGATCCCGAGGACTTATTTAGAAATTTATTCGTTCACTTGAAATGAACGAGCTGACCATCGAATTTATGATTTTTCCGCCTGGCGCTCACAGTAATAATTAGCCGTCCTGAATTTTGAAGGACCTAGGTGGGCGAGTGATGAAAAGGAAGAAAGAAAAATCGACTCGAACTGGTAAAAAGATGCATTTTCATTTTTCGGCAATTTTGAACCTCGCTCTACTACCCTTATTATTGGCACTACCCTTTCAGCCATACCACACCCACAAGAGTATCGGGACCGTCTCGCCATAATTTTTTATTTTTTAGCTAATTTTTTTTGGCTCTTTTTAAAAATTCTACCTTCATCTACCTGACTTCTTTTTTTAATTTTCAAAGAGTGTGCCAGAATCTGAATTGAAAACATTTATTCTATTCTTGATCTAAACGAGGAAGGTCTCGTAAGTATTATACAATGGTTCCTTACATAGCTATTGTAAGGTAAGAAAAGTTGCGGCTACCTGAAATGAAGGGGAATAATTAGCGAAAAATTAAAGAAAGTTCAATGATGTATAAGAGCGGAATTTGTTTCCTAAAATGCAAAACGAAAATGAAAGTGAGATGAGGAGATGGTAAAAAATCTTGACTTCAAAAGATATCAAATATTGTGAGGTTTGAGACTGAAAAAAGAACTGCTTATTTTATCCCTCGCCATCTTCTCGGAGGAAGCAAATCCAATTATCTTTCCTTGTATTAGTGACCCAGGCAACCAAACTAGCTTCAAAGGTAAGCTGGTTGCGTCCGAGACTAACTGAAGGGGATTCTAAGCAGAATTAATTTCCCGTTTGCTCGTTCTAGTTCTAAGGCGTACCTATACTTAAAAAATCTTGACCTCAAATGATATCCGACATTTTGAGGTTTGAAATGGAAAACAGAATTTGAGTTGCTTTTCTTTTCTCCTTCTGTAATTTTCAAGAGATTAGTATCCCCCCCCTCTCCTTTTTTAAAATTTGTTAAGATAAATACCTACTAATTTTGTGATAAGATCTCATAGGCTTGGCGGAATTTTTACCCTTTTTCATCATTACAGGGAAGAAGAGGATCTTATGTGTGGAAAAGTGGTTGTGAATGTGAATCATAATTTTTTATTGTGACCCAAGCCGAACAAAGTCGATAACTCATGACCAGGCCAAGAATGAAAAATAGTCTAGAGTTATTTGTGGATTGATGTCTCTGATCACTCAATCAGCACACGTTTAGTTTTTCGTTTTCTTGTTAACCGAACATACATAAAATATACGTCAGGATTATTTACTTGGAGATGCACAGCTTGAAAATAAGTAGAGGATGACCTTATCAATTACAAAGTTCAGAGTTGCCACAGAATTTGGAAAATGAAATTCCCTGACACACTTTGGTGAAATTCCCTAACAAATACATTCTAGAAAGCAAATGAAGGTGATTCAACACATTTTCCCTGACATTTCCCGGTTTTCCCTGACTGTGGCAACCCTGACATTTCCGAATTTTTAATTCATTCAACAGCTCAAAGCTTCTCAACATCTATAAACGATTTTCTTGACCTCCAAGGAGAGGATGTCATAGTCAGCACAGTTTTCAGAACACTGATGAAATTTTTGCTGTGCCAAAAACTTTGAAAATGCTGTCAATTTCAACAAAAATGTCTATGTGAACTTAAACATAACTCCAGTGAAAAATTTGGAATTGATAAAGACTTACAAGATAGACTTTGGCAATGTATTCAAAAGAGCGGCTATTGCTGACATCATAAACAAGACAAGCAACATCACAGTTGACATCAGATGGACTTAGTGGTTCTCGAACATTTGTTATATCTATATCTTTTAAGATTAGAAACTTCTCCTGTCCATAGACTTGAACAGTGTTAATTGTGTACTGTGGTTCTGCTTGAGCCAAATGAGGATTAGTACCATTTTCCTGAGAAATTTAAAAAAAGGATATTGTAAGATAAAAATGAAGAACTTTTTAGTCACAGCAATGAAACAAAATTGATTGAGCAAGATCAGTACAGAGATAATGTCATTCAAGAATTGGTGAAAATCCTTGTAGAGTCAAAAAAGAAACTTGTTCCCTTCATTATCGGCAGTTTCCCTAGTCGGTCTCAAAACTCTGAGCGAAATATTTACCTGAGTATAAACAACTAGAGAGAAATAAAATCTGAAAATGGAACGACAATGTGTAACTTGCTCAGAAATTTATCTATTCGTTTTAATAATATATGAGATAAAATAATAGATATAGACGTTTCCCCCTTTTTTGACACTGGTTAAATTCCAAACAACCTTTATGTAAGTGCCATGGTTGATAAGCATTCAAGCGCTTGCCCTTGGTGGAAAATCGACAACACAAATTGTGAACATGGTAGATTTGTGACAGCGCCTGGAGAGTGTGACATTTTTACATTGTTTCAAATGAAGAAAAATTGGTTATTTTGCACTAAACATCAGCGCCGCCGAACTGCAAAGTTGTTTACATCCATCGCGAAGGAGGTCATGTCAAATTGTCACTGAATTTTATATCATGTTGTCGTAATTCTTATGCGCAGTTTTTTGTTCTTGGCTGCCAGAATGCTCCTACAAAGGTGCCAAATAAGTTAATATGTGCCTGAAGGAATCAAGTGCGTGAAGGAAAAGCCATGATGATTTTTTAAGGTTTTTCCATTTAAAGCCCGAAAATTTTCTGTCACAAGTGAACATGGATACCATTTTTTACGGAGAACCGAAATCATTTGGGAACTGAAAAATTTATGGTGACGTCCTAAAAACTTGGTGGCGAGTGGTCACAGTCGGCATGAAGTTAGCAATTTATGATGTCTGGTTGCATGTGCTCAGTCAATCAAAATTGTTTATTCCATCTTAGAACTTCGAGCTTGATTTTTTATCCTTTCAAGTGAATTTCGAACATTTGAAAGGTAAACTTCGTCTTCCACGTGAAAAATTCAACGGGATTTTTCAATGACTATTTGCGTTGCAGGATCTTGCAAGCGCCCCACGGGACATATTAAAATATAATAGGATTATTTACATTGGGAGTTCTAGAAGAAGACACAGGAATAATAGTTTCAGAGAGGTAACAAATTAAATGTTTCATAGAGGTTTACACAAAATTAGGTGAGGGAGAAGAAAGTACAACAGCAGCGGAAAATACTAGGGGGCCATGTCCCCTTGCCGCTATGCGGCCCGACCCCCACAGGGTGATTCGCGCTTTCTTAGGCCTGCTTCGACATAAGAACGACCATAAAAAATGAAAAGATTTTCATACTCAACCCTTATTTGTCCAATATTCTTCTGGCCGAAAGCAATTGGACCAATAAGAATCGATTAAGAAAATTGGCATTCATTTTAAACTTCAAGCCAAGACTGAAACGTAACAGAACGGAGCGTTTCGTCGCTTTTGGATAGTCTGTGGCGGCTAGCCACCACTCCTCCAACCAGCGCAGCTCATTGGCTGTAGCCCGACACTGTCGGGGCTACGGCTACATATAGCCGCGAGCTCATCTCTCAGCTCACTCCGCGCCCATCAGTCACACAGGACTCACGTCGCACAGCATCCAGCGGAGCTCATGCGATCGGCCAGCTTGCCCCTTTCCAACAGCCCTGTTTAGGGCCACCACATGATGAGCACCTCTCATGGCTTAGTCCATAAGTCTGTACAAAAGAGGCATACCTTCCATTTGCTTACCTTACCCAACTAACGTCAGACAAATATTCAACATTTCCCGCTATTATTTATGGGCGGGAATTTTAAATTTTGCCCCTCTTCCTAAGCTCCCTGATCTACTCTTATATAAAAAAAACCTGGGTCCTATATTCAATTTCTGATTACAGTGGGCTCATCTAGGGGCTATCACCAGTCGATAACTGCTAAAATCATGGAAATTGGCCTAGTAGGAAGCTCAAACAAACTGGGACAAAAAATAAAAATTTACATGGTTAAAATGGGAGAATTCGCAACTTTAACAGGTAATATACAAAACTTGGGTCAAATTTTCAAAATATGAATACATCAAGCTTATCTAGAGACAAGTGCCTGTCAATAGCCTCAAAAATCATGAAAATCAGCCAGGTAGAGCGCTGAAACTAAGCGATACCAGATATACAAATTTAGGACATTTCAGAGCTTGTAGTGTAGAAAAAAGAGGACTCTCATGATCTACTAAGGCGACTCCTTTCACTTCTTGATAGACATTGTGACTAATCAATGCCCTGCTTATCACATTAAATCCGTGACTTAGCATAAAACCACTTTTGAATTTGAAAAGTATTTCGAAATTTCGAGAAACAGTAAATAAAACAGAGTTTCGTACAAATACTTACTGCGCTTGTGACACCAATGTGACTTCGACAAAGCTCCGTTTTTCCGGCAGACTTTGCCCCAATCACATGACAAACATACACATTCCTGGTTGACTGCTTCTTTAATAGGTCTAACTTCTTCTCACGGGTAACTGAAAAAACACAAGAGAAAAGTTCCTATGAAACAAGCTGTTTCAGTATAAAATGAGGGAGGTATTTCCACACTAGTCACGTAATTAATAGTTATAAAAAAAATTATTAACGCACTTACGGCGACTTTCTGTGCCGGCGGCCGCGTTTTGAGCTATCATCATCATCAGTGCGAGTGATGTGTCCTCTCAGATTTGTCGGACTTTTTCCGGGAAATTTATAAAATCCCTTGCTAAACTTGTCAAAAGATCTATATCGGCCTTACAAAAAGGTCTGCGAAAGCTAGAGGACAGGAGCATGCGCATCACATCAAAAATCGCGAAATTACAAGATCAGCAGTAACAGCGCTTTTGGGAGGAGGACCGCTTTAATGCCCCCAAACTAATCCTGGTGAAGGAAGTCCGTGCTTCTAAAAAACGGCACATTAGGTAGAACATCTTTATTTACAAAAATAAAGAGAATTGTTATAACTTAGAAATTCCTCCGCCAAACACGTTATTTACCGCCTTGAAATCTGGCAGCCAGGACAACAGAGGTCCAGAGCCCGAAAAATTGGAGAAGATATATCAGTCGCAACAATGAGTCCTAGCTCAAAACGTTTCACAAAGAAGAAAGAAAGAAGCAGAAGAAATTCTACAGCGGCTCAAAGTACATGCCTGGACGCCATTTTAAATGGCAGCCATCTTAGATCAGCCACCATTTTGGAAATGCCGCTTCGACTCAAAACTCTTAAAATATCATCTAGTTTGACCTCCCAAAATGGCAAAGCTAAATCACGATTTAAAGCATTTGGCCCTTTTTTGGCACTAAGCCAATGTACTAAATGGGGATTTACAAAATTATTGTCTCTAATTGAGTTGATTTTACCCAGCGGCCTGTATGGACAAACCGATTAGAAACCACTGTTTTTCCTTGTTCCTAGAGGGTCTTTAAGAATACATGGGAAAAATACCCAAACTTTTTTCACAAGGCTAACCAATCCCTCTTATATTAGGCAGAATTGTACTTTAAAAACCATTTTAGACTGAATTGACGGTTAAAAGGGACATAACTGCTCCTTGACTGCATTCCTTTAAGTTAAAGCTGATGATTGCAGTTGAAGTAAGGTACCTTGTACAGCTGTCAGTTGCGTTTCTCTGTCGTGATGATACAAATAGCCAAAATACGCTAAATATTCAAGAGTAGTTTCCACATCGAACATGGTTGTCAAAGTCCAATAACACAGCCATCCGTGTTGATTCAACCAACCCTGTAATTAAAGATAGGTAAAAGGCTACTGATAACGTATGAACTGTTTTCTATTGTTTCTGATGGTGTTAACCAATTATTAGTTCTACCAAAGTAGTATTTCGAAGTTAGAATGTAAATAGTTGAAAACGGTAGGTACTGAAAATAATGTTTCAAATTTAACAGTACAAATAGAATAACTCCTCCACACATGGCGTAGGTAACAACTGAATGATCGAAAATTAACTACAGAAGGTACTTTTTGAATCAAAGACGGTGCAGAAACTTCTGATCACTGCCCCAAATTCGATTAGTCTTCTCCCTATTTTTAACTCAAATTCATCATCGCTTCCCCTGAAGACTATAAAAAAAATTATTTCTTCAATTTTCCTAAGACAAGATCTTGAAAATTGCATCACTTTCCATTCTTTCCAGATATCTTGATGAAATCCATAAGACACTTGCTGAAGAGGTGATAGAATTTATTATTTATTGTTTCGTTGTGCAAGATTTGACTTAGCCATCTGCAGACTTATTGTTGAAATTAAAAGACAAAGAGAAAGTGGAGCAATCCTATTGATTGAAATAAGGGGTTGTTATAGACTAAGGGGAACATTAAAAGACTGACTACATGGTTTTCATGGGTTGCCATTGGTTAGTCTAATACTTGGTAAAGGGGCCTTGTCCCTAGACTACACCTGAAAGAGTTTCTTTTGCACAATGTGCATGAAAGCTACCTACAGAGCGCAGGCATGGCTACAGCTGCTATGAGCTGGGTTTTCTAATCAGCGGCATCAGCTGATAACTAATAACTGAACTAAACGAAATTCTCTATCTGACTCAAAGAACTTGCCGAGATCCCACTCTATCTGGCGGGCTGCATATTCCCGAACCCCGCGTGAAATGTGAAATCCAGGTTAGACCCTGACCGCAGCTCCCTGTGCGAGTTTATGAGACTCCTCGGCAGCGACTAAAGATCACTTTATTTGAATGAAAATTGACCAAGTTATGACACTTTTAATACAGATTGTAAGAAAATACCCTACCGTTTTTATCAACTTGTTTATTTTGGTCTTACTCATCAAACTTTTCCGGTGATCTTTCACCAATGAAAGCAACTTGGCAACAAATGCTAATTGGTTTTTTTTATTCAGAGGGCATGGTTTATTAGCACTTTGTAACGGATAAAACCACAGTGGACAGCAATTATCATTCCAACGTTCTGACGGATTTTCGCAAGCACGTCTTGCGAAAACGTCCGCAATTGGCAGAAATGATCCAATAGGACAAAGCGCGTCCTCACCCCTCGAACGCCATCATCAATTTTATGTTAAAGAATGGAGTTGAGACTACCCGCTGTACAGCCCCGATTTCGCTCCATGTGACTTTTAGTTGTTCCTGCAATTAAAGAAAGCTCTTTGCGGCAAGCAATTTGAATCAAAGGATGCAATCAAGAACTGAGTCCAAGCATTCTTGTGATTCAGTGAATATGTAAAGGCGGTACCTTTTAGTTGTAAGGAAATAACGCATGGTACTTTGACAGTACTTAGACAGCATATTACCTCCATGGCCACTTCTCAGCTACATTAATTGCAGCAAAACCTCAAAAAAACCATTAGAAACTTCAAAAGAAATTTGATCCCACGTTTATCTTATAATTCACTGCAATTTCCAAAATTTGCCCTAACTTGTCGAAAAATTTGAAATAATGTAGAAGTATTCAATAAATGACAACAATAAAATTTAGACTTTTCTTTTCTTTTCATGAAATTAAAACAATAAACCTTCTAAGTGCAAAACTCTGAAAGAAACAAATCAGAAAGTACTAATTTTTTTGGCTACCAGAAGAAGAGGGAGGGGGTAAGGGTGGGTAAGGTTGCCTCCTCCTTCTCAAATTCAAGAATGCTTTTAGCAGTAATGGTGTTTCGTCAATGTAACTTCCTCAAAATCTTAAAGAAGATATGAAAATGTGTTTATAATGAGAGGCTCCTAGATCTGAGGAGACTGGTGAGAGGAGGGAGAGATTTAGAGGGGAGGGGGGCAGCTTAGGAGTGGAAAGAGAATTTGTGGCCTTGTTTATAGAAGAAAAAGTATGAAAAACATGACATTCTTCAAAAAACAGAGAAAAAGCATTGTAGCTATCAAATAATCATACATTCTCAATACCCGCCTTGCAGGCTCGGGCTAGGCATTTGTGAAATGGTTAGTCATCTAAAGGTTAAAGTACATAAGAAAGCACTAGTTTGTATTTTCATCATTGGTAATTTAGTTTAACTGCTGTTCATCGGTGTGCTCGTTCATTAAGACATGAAGGGAGGTCAAGGACAACTCCAAGTAAACCCTCGGTCCATCCAGTGTAGAAATAAGACTAAGACCCCGATTCGTCAGGCGATTCATATTGGATCGAGACTCCGGCTATGCTGGCAGCATATTCCCGGGCCTCGCAGGCCTGGGTTCGTCATTCTAAGGGTGGACATGAAAAAAAAATTGCTGTGCCTAAAAAAAAATTAGCAAAATTTTTTTTTTTCAAGAACTATGTTCTTAGGGGTTTTTGTAGAGCTATTTAAGAAGGACAGACTTCTCTGACAATTACAGCTGCCGTGGCGCGACAAATAAGAAGCCGCCAGGCCTCATAGACCAGGTTCGTCATCTAAGGGTTAACGTGAATTTACAATGAATTACACAATGACACATACATGAACAAAAAACCGTCCGATTGAAAACGAAACAATGATTGCTTCAATTGTTGACAAAAACTATCTTGGCAGAGCGGGCGCACTATAGCCAAGTGTCGCCGAGACATGACACGGTCCGCGTCGAGGTACACAGGACGATGCGATAAAGGCTGTAATATATGCGCTCGGCAGAGGCGCGTGCACATAGCTCCTTAGACCATTGCAGCCACCCGCTCCTACCAATGGAATCGCTCAATTTTCCCTATGACCTCCTTGTCCATGATTTTGTCTATGAATTTAAATTATCAGCCTGCAGATATTAAGATATTTACCTGTTGATTTGTGCAGACCATATTCCTTAGCTCTCCAGTCCAGGGAGGCTCAGGACATACAGATAGAAGGCTATTTAATTCCGCTGGAGAAAGCGCGGCATCATTATCCCTGTCATATTTGTCAAACAAATTAGAGAGAAATTGTTGACCTTTATGCGTCAACTCAACAGAGCAGCCCACCGGAACATTTAGACTGAAAGAAAAATTTCGTAATCTTATTCAAGAGAAACTTGGAAAAAACAAATAGAAAATTCCTAGCAGTGGCTGAGATGTAATGAGATGGAAGTTAAAGATAGTTGTTAATTCGCAAGAGAAAAAAGCTGGATGATGAAGAGAGATGAAGCAGAGATGACTGATGCACCTGATTCTTGACCTATTAATGCACCGGAGCAAAACTGATTAAATAGCCTTGCTTTTTTCACACTCATGAAAGAATGACCACACAAAAGCAGAACTGTTATCATTTGTCGTTTCAAAGTTGTGCTTTTGATTTCGGATCTATTCCTGTGCAAATTTGAATTATTTGAAATGAGTCCTAAAAGGAAATATTTAAATGATTTCCCGAAGTGATATCCAATTAAGAAAAACAATTGCACATTGGTGATCCACAACGAGTGCTTGAGCCCCCCTACCACCGATACGAGGGGAAGACAAGGATTGCGATTCTCTCTCCAGCTGGCCGCTCCTGCGTGAGTTGCCTCATCCATTAAGAAGGAGAGAGGAAACTGATGTCTACTCTCACTTTTATCCTACAGCAATATAGCATGGCAGGCAGCAAGGGTGTAGGATGTTCTCGATCACGTGATCATGACCGCGTGGCAACTCGCATGAGAATAGGGAAAAGCTGTAAAAATTACGGAGGGCTTTTTCTTTGTGACCCATCGCAATCGATTTGTAAACAGCTTACATTAGTCTGGGGGCATGTGTTCGAAAATTAAGTCCAGAATGCACGTTCATGAAGCAAGTTGCCATTGTAGCGTAATTTCTCCATTTTGGTTCCTAGAAGAAGAAAATATTTAAATAACTCTCCGATTTTGATACCAAGGCCTCAAAAACAAGATGACGGCCAAAATGGCGGCTGAAAATGGAAATTTTGGTAAAACGTCACAAAACATTGAGTGAGGTGTCGATTCTCGCGTTTTTGGGGTCCTAGATTCCAGAAAATTTGTCAAATAGACCCCTCGACCCATGGAAATGCCCAACATCCAAGATGGCGGCCGATTTTGGCTCTTAAGCGGCGCAAACGTCAAATGCGGAGCAAAGAGAGGAGTAAACACTCTAGACATATGTTTTCGAGGTCGCTGATTCCGCTGATTGAAAATATTTCATGCCAAATCGGCGTGGTTTGGTCCATGTGAGGCCAAATTTGGCCACCATTTGGGTTAGAGTTTCTGATACTCCGTGGCAATAGCGCTGTTCAACAACAACAATAGTTGATAAAAATGTCTCCTGGACGAGATTAAGTGATCCCAACATATTTTGAGGCGCTAAATCTAAATATAACCTCCGCTTTTACCATCACCCTCAAATTTTCAGGGAGAGCCGATTTTACCCAGAAAAACGGTCATTGTTGGTGTTTTAGTGATTGTTACTCTCTGCAGAATTAAGGTAAATTTTTTCTCACATACGAGATAAAATTGTTCCGATGTATTTTGAGCCAATGAATCTGAAAATAGCCTGTATTCTTCCCTTTCACCCATCAGCTTTTCAAAAAAGCGACTTTTTCTCGGGAAAACAAGCAAAGTAGACGTATATTTGTAATGCATGCAATTCATTTTTACAAATTTTCCTGAACCTAATAGATAAATGCTTATGTCTTTGAAGCTGCTGAATCCGAATATGACCTCGGTTCCTTTCATCACCCTCAAGTTTTCCGGTAAAGACGATTTTTCTGATCCTTTTGTAAAAAAGCTTTTCCGGACTCAAAGTGTATTAAGTATACATTTTAAAAATGTCCTCGATGTCCTACATCAAGCCTTATGTATTATGAACCGCTGAATCCGAATATGATTTCAAAATTTATTTATTACCCACCATTTTCACGGAAAACGAGCTTTTTTTTGTACTTTTGCAACGATTTTCCTACTCCAAAGAGTTTAAGAAATTTTCTAAGATCCTCTTTAAGTCTCTCCTTGGTGATGAAATTTAGTAAACAAATATGGCAGCGGTCCGTCACAACGTTGAGAGTGCCGAACCCCCGAAAACGCATCGCCGCGGTGGAGGTTCGGGGTTCACCAACGAATTCCAACGATTGACCGCCCAAGTCGCCAGTCGGGAAAACTCCTAAGGAATTCGTATCTCCCACCATTCTTTGGAAAATCCGATTTTCTAGGAATATGGTCGCCAGAAAACCAGGAAAAAACAGGAAAGTCAGGACCATTACGCATGAAACTTTTTTTTCACGGTTTCTTGGAATATACGACCTCGACAACATATTACGAGAGGATTTACTCCTCTCTTTCCGCCGCATTTGACGTTTTTGCCGCAATGGGGCCAACATCGACCGCCATCTTAGATTTTGGGCATTTTCGTGGGTCAAGGGGAGGGGGGAGGGGTCTGTTTAATAATTTTTCTGGATTCTACGACCCAAAAAACATGAGAGCCAACAGCTCACTCGATGTTTCGTGCCACTTTACCAAAATTTTAATTATCAGCCGCCATTTTGTTTTGGGGCCTTGGTATCAAAAATCGGAGAATAAACAAAAGATTTTCTCCTTCTAGAAACTAAAATGAAGAGATTAAGGCATGGTGTCAACTTGCATCACGAGCGTGCAGGACATGCACACGGGATGACACATGCTCCCTGACTATCAGACTGTTAAGTCTACTAAAACTCTTCCGAGCGAGCTACTTTTGGGGGAAGGAAACTGTTAGGCGCGTTATTTTATGTAGAGGCACAATTGGACTGCATTTTGCAATTTGGAACTGTAAATTCTGGCCCGGTTTAAAAACAATGTATGTGCCATTAGTTTCCCTATGCACATAAGTGTTTTTTCAGATGAGACAGAATTTATAGTTCCAAATTGCAAAATGCAGTCCAATTATGGCAAAACATAAAACTTTGGGGAAGGCAAATTATAAATTGAGGAATGCTAAGAACTTTCTGCACCCCTGGCAGACAGTAATTTAGAGGGTTAAGGGACTCTCCACTCTCCCTTGTAGTTTAAAATCGCAAAAAAAGTTCAGCAAAGATGTAATTTAATGTAAATAAAATAGATGTAAATTAAACGAAGTTATTAAAGTCGGGATAGAAAAATTGTGCAGAATGAAGCAAGTCCCGAGTTTTGTAATAACCGGTTCTCCTGAATATTTATTAGAACATGGGACCGAATGATTCTACCAATTAAGCGGGTTATTGACTTACCTAGATACCAAGTTATCAAGGCTTCACTGTAAGAAGGCCAAAACTATTGGTGTTACTCCAATCTCTCCAAATAGTTTAGGTTGGCAACCTGCTTTTTGTATGGTCAGTTGCGCGACTTATGTGCGTGGTAACCTTTTTTCGTTTATCTTCAATAAAATGGCAGGTCAACATATAAGTTCAGAGCTCCACTTTTTTTTTTATTTTATCAACGTCCTGAATAAGTTTAGGTGAAGTTTAAGGTGCAAATGGCACTTTGCAATATGTTATGGGTCTTCTTCCGTGTTTAGTGTGTCATTTTTTTTTTACTTTGAAGAAATTCGTGATGTCGTCCGGTTGTATGAAGGCCTAAAAATTCTCGCCGCGCCGCGTGTTCGTGATTCGTGAACGTTTTACCTAATTAAGGTAAAAATTTACAAGTTGGGGGATGTTCTTTGGTCAAAGAGAGTTACATTTTAGCACCCCTAAAATTTTCAGGGGGACCCCCTTAAGAGGGCAACGGACCCCAACATTTTTTTCAAATGGGAAGAACCCTTTTGTGATACCTCGTTCCAAAGAGCATAAAAAATACAACTTCTCGCGCAAACTCGAAGTTCAAATCTAAAACCGTTTCAAAATGGCAGCCGGTTAAAGTTCAAGATGGCCGAAAATCTGCACCTCGGTTTTTTGTAGATGGATTTGCGCGAAAATCAATATCTAGAGGTATTTTGACAGAGAAAGACGAATTTAATGTTAGATTTATAAGAAAACCAAAATTTCTAAAACGGCCGCCTGTTAAATTTCAAAATGGCCAAAATTTTTTTTTTTTTTTTATAGAAATCTAATTTCAAATGTGTTAATGTCATGCCAAAATACCCCTAAGTCCCAAGTTTCGGCAAATCCATCAGCAAGAAACCGAGTTGGCAATTTTTGGCTATTTTGAACTTGAATCGGCGGCCACATTAGAAATTTCGGTTTTTTTTAAAAATCTGATGTCAAATTTGTTTTTCCCATGTCAAAATATCCCAAGATACCAATTTTCGCGCAAATCCAATGATAAACAACCGGTATCAATTTTCGGCCATCTTAAAATTAAACTGGCCGCCATTTAGAAACGGTTTGAGGTATTGACTTCAAGTTGTCGCGAGAAGTTTTCTTTACTTATGCTCTTTCGAAGGGGTATCACAAAGAGGGTCATCCTATTTGAAAAAAAAAAATTGGGGTTCGTTGCCCCCTCAAGGGCCCTAAAATTTTTAGGAGGGCTAAAAAGTAGCTCCCTTTGACCTAGAACATCCCCCAAGTTTCAAATCTTTGCCTCGATTAAGTAAAAAGTTAGAGAGGGTGGAAGGGACTTTTGGATTCCCCTGTATGTATTTACACATGAATTTGAATGACATATATTTTCGTGCTCTTCATGAAGTCTCAGGGCTGGGCCCGACATCATGGGAGAATACAACAGTGTACTTTCTTCGGAAAATACACTAAAAATTACTTATCAGCCCTGCATTTCTCAACATTGGTACATAGAAAGGTTGATTACAAAAGCACATTGTGCTCAGGAGGTTGTAAGGAGCATCAGATCAAACACAAACTAGTGCCAATTTCTTCATACTCTGTGTGTAGTCTTTCCCTCATGGTTCTAACACGTGGATTAGTTCACCATATAGTGTTGCTTGTGAGATCGAATATTATTTGCATCCCTGATGTAAATGTTAAAATCTTCTTTTTTAAGTGCAACAATGGGATGAAGGAAAAGTAAAAACTTAGAGAGAATAATTACCAAGGATATAAAATATCCTTTGACAAATGCAGATCATTTGTGTATCCAAATTTACGTAAAACTGCCCAGACTGTGTGGCTTCGTCCTCTTTGCATGAACAAACAGTGAAGAAATTGGAAACCTGAAAAAGTAGAAATTAAAATTAGGGCATGTCATCACTCAAGAGTTGGGGGAAAGAAAAATTACTCGAAAATATTTAAATAGGGGTATTGATAATCAATTTGATTTCAATTTTTGATACAGATTCATACAGACAATGCATTTTTACGAGAAAGAGAACAGAGCCATCAAGATGAAGTGGAAATCACCATAAATTATTAGGTGACACGTCCGACGCAAACCCCCAGGGGACGCTCGCACTACGCAACGCGTAACGAAAGGAAGAACCTCCGGTCCGAACGCGATCCCGATCCGCCCATCGGAGGAGCCAGGTCGTTTTTCCCGAAAACTGCTGAGGGGCCCCCGCGCCCCCTGGATAGTGAGATCGCTGAATCCGACCTTATGAGGGGTCGGCGATAGAGTACCTTCGTAGACCGAGTATGGCCATTTCTGTTCCGGTTTTTCATTGGTCGCGTGAAAATAGACTGACACGATGTTCTTACGGCCGTAAATAAACAAACAAGATGGCAGTTATCAGCAAGCAAGATTGAGGCATAGAGAAAAAAAAGGAGGTGTTTGCATTTCGGGCATCTTGGAATATTTTGATGACTTGATGACGTAGGTGGGTACAGCTGGGTACAGGGACGTCCCCTTCACACTGTACCCACCAGCGTCATCAAGTCATCAAAAAATTCCAAGATGCCCGAAATGCAAACACCTCCTTTTTTTTCTCTGAGATTGAGGTTATGCACATATTACATCCTCCTGTGATGAAGGTGAAAGGCGATTAAACAATGTTTTCATGTGTTTTTCGTGTGTTATTCGTAGATATGCTAGATTAAATTGTTACTGCCGCATAATTGAAATTTTTTTCAAATTTAGCTTCTTATCGATGTTACGTTGAGCCGCCATCTTGTTTGTTTATTTACGGCCGTAAGAGCATCATAAAGCCTGAAAACTCGTTGACCAATCAAAACGCGGCACAGTTTTCCTGTAGTAAAAAGATACGAATGGCCATACTCTGTCTATAAAGCTACTCTAGTCGGCGACGCAGAGCCCATCCGCAGACGGAACCGGGAGCCCGAGGAACGAACGAAAAGGCACCAAACCCGCGTTGCAAGGGAGGGGTGAGAAAAAGGGCCTTGGGGAGTTCAGCGCCCCTCCGTGGAGGATGGGATCGGAAATTCCGAGAAACTTACGCGTTGTCCGCCCAGGAGTATCTGCGTACCGAATTCTCTAGCCGGCAGGACGAAATGGGCGGGCGCGACGGTGGTTTCCTCGAAAAAATAGACCGTGGGCCAGCAAGGGGTAACCCTCCCCCGGGGGGGGGGAGGGAGGGTTACCCCTTGCTGGCCCACGGTCTACGTGTGAAGCGCTTCCGTGGCCATGAGCACGGAGCAGTGTTCCAACCCCACGAGCGCCATGTCGCCAAATGCTCCTAAAAAATCGGCCATGGCCCCTAAAAAATGAAGACCCTGCGCCAAACGTGGCTCCTAAAAAATTGTCGCAATCCTAAATTACGGTTTGATGATTTCAAGATTTTTGTCAGTCAGCCTGGACTGAACGCGCATAGCAAGCAGTTGCGCGCGGAACTTCGTCGCGGCAGCGGCTCAGCAGATCGAGAATCGTACTACTTATCGTACATACTATAGAATCGTTCTACTACTTTTCATAATAGGAAGTCAGAAAAAGTATTATTTAATTGAACAAACTTTAAGTAAACTAAAAGCTCCTTGTTTTAAATCGGAATATCATTCCTTTGGCCTTTCCCTTTCCCAAGTAATGGCTGCGAGCTGCAACTTGCAAGTCCTGTAACTGTATATCTTGCGTATAACTTTTCACTAAATGCGCCGTGATATATAGGCAAAAATTCAATTTGGCCCCTAAAAAATCTTCAATGGCCCCTAAAAATTGAACTTGATGGGCCAAACGGCTCCTAAAACTTGGAGGTGAAGTTGGAACACTGGCACGGAGTGGAAATCGCGCGCCGCGGCCGACCGCGCGACACTTAAATGGCTCTCGCAGGTTCACTACTCGTAGCACAAACATGGTTATGGTATCAAATTAAACGCGAGATTAACGCCTATCTCTGTTGCAGAAGAGAAAAAAATCAATTTTCCTACTGAGTTAAGTTACTTTGCTTTGAAATTTTGGGAATCACCCAAACATTTTTTTTACAATTCAGGAAAAATTGTTGGTTATTTTATAATTTAATCCTAACTTTTAAATTACTTAGTACCCTTTCAGCTCTCATTAAAAAAAAGAACATCAAAATTGAAAAATTAGGGGCAGAGATATGCTACTTCAAAAAAACGCTTGGCCGCCATCTTTGATACTGCACGAATTTGAAAGTGGTTCTACGACAAAAACTACTATTTTTGAACGTAGTATGACTTCCCGAGGTGGGAATTTCCAATAAAAAAATCGTTGATTTTGATCGCACCCACCATACTTTTTTGTTAATCTCAGTATTACCTATGATGGCGCACTTTGTGGCTGGATGTGACTTACTATCTGAGACCCAGCTTTTAACCAGAGCACGAAGTTGTTAGGCTCTAAAGCCTCATTTTTGGTGCATTTTCCACATGGTGCCCCATGAAGTCGGAAAACTGCTGGTTTTTTAGAGGAATTGAAGAGAAAGCTTATTCTGGTGAGATTCTCCATCAACATCTCAATCCTCAGATGTAACTTGGCAAAAAAAAGAAAAAAAAAAAAAGAAAAAAAACGAGAAATGTAATATAAATATTCCATTTATTACTAAGCAAGGACATATCATACCATTCAAATTACAGCAATACAGTATTATATTAGAAAATTGAAAAAAAATAAATAAATAAAAAATTAAATAAAGAAATCAAACAATACTTCAAAGTACAGCCATTGATCAGGCTTTTCACTATGGCAGATTCTTATTCAAATAGCAGTTTAAAAAATAGGTATTACTGAAATCACGATTCTAATACCTGGTAAAAAAATAGATAAATAAAGTGATTAAAGAGTTTTGTTCTGGTTATATAAAAATACCTTTGAGATAAGTAAAGAAAAAAATGATAGGAGAGAAAAAGTAGCATATAAAAATATTATAAAAAGAATAAGTATAAGCTGAGGGAAATGAGCAAAATAATTGGATAAAAGTATATTAAAATTACTAACCAGTAAATTCGCGCTTGCATTGAATGATATGGTACCATTCTGTCTGACAGTTTGCATTCACTGTTAGCATGATTATGTTGATGTTAAGTGTTCTTTTTTCCCCCTCTTTTAAGTAATTTGACTTCAGAACAAAAATACGAGGAACTTTGAGGCAACGAACAAATTAAAAAAATTGTTTATTTTCTTTCTTCTTTTTTTTGTAGGTTAAATAATTAATATTTGGTTTTCAAGATAATTTACATTACTTAATACAGCTGTAAAATTACACTTAAAAATAATCAAATAAATAAATAAAATTAAAAATAGTAATAAAAATAATTGATGCCCTATAAAGAGGAAACAAGAGAGAGAAAAAAGGTTATAGCTTCACTTAGGTATAATACAAGTTCCCAGATGAAGTTAATCATTAACTGTCAAAAGTTTTAAAAGATAATCCATTCAGCTTGGTAGTGCTGGTAAAGGCCAGCCGCATCACATTGCTGTAAAAAGCGTAAGCATTACAATGCCGCTGACATGGTGAAGTAAATCTGACGGAACAAGCGTCAGATAGACTAGAGGCTGACAACTGCATAAATGCCATAATTTCATGTCTATGACATAAAATAGGCAGATAGAAGTTTAGAATTGAAAAAAATATTTCAGAGAAAAAAAAAGAAAAAAAAGAAACAATTACACTTTAATTAAAAAAATTTCGATTGGATATAATACCCATTATCATTTGCTTCTGGTTCTTTTTTTAGGTTTTTTATTGCCTATCGGTGGAACGTAACTTTTCTTCTACTGCTTCCTGTGATGCTTCTGACAAGTCTGTTGCCTAAAATCAGAAAACAAAAGAACAAATGAATGAGAATTTGAAGGGAGACTAGAATTTGAAAGCAGTAGTTTCAAGTTTCTCTTAATTTCTTGGCAAAGAACATGAATACTGTTGAGAGAATGAAGAGGAAGGAAAGCAAATTAGTTCCTCAGTTTAACAATTGAAAAAATTGGAAATTATTTGATAAAATAGATAACAAAACACTCAGGGCCTGTGTTCTGCCTTCCCCTTAAAATAGGCCAATAAGCCCAATTCGCAGGAGCCATTTGTAAGTTTTTAGGAGCCACATTAAGTTATTGCATACGCTACGCTGTTTCATTTCAGTTTTTTTTTTTTTTTAATTCTTTAGTTCTTGAGCTGTTTCACTAAGCTGCGAACGATAATCTGAGAGCACTACCGCCGCTTGGCGATAACAAGTTGGAAAAAATTAAAGGGGTGCGTCAACATTTTGAGGGCCCACAATGGCCCAGTCCCCCAACTTGGAGTCCGAGGTCTAGTTTTAGGGCATATTGGACGCTGGTGCCTGGGGAAGGCAGAACACTCTTGGAGTCTGAATTTTGTTGGCAGATTTGTGGTCAGCCGCAAATTAAGGCAAGAATATCGACTTTGTGGCACAATTGCTGGTGCATGGTTTGCGCCGTTGAGGAAAGCCTGCTGTAGAAAAAAATCAACTTGCTTGTAGCTTAGGTTATTAATATGATTTTCCTGATTTATTGTCGAATTTAGATATTGCTTTCGCAACTTGCAGTCAACCATAGCCAACAAAATTGGGGCTAAGTTCACAACCTGTTACGATGCTGTATAAAAATAGAGGACTCACATCCATTTTTGGGAGCATTCCATGATAATTCTGGGCCCTTTCAAATTGAGGCATATTTTTGTATTCAGAATACAGGGGTGTGAAAGAAAGTGAAAAACTTGTCTCCTTTAGTCACTTTAGGCAGATTTCTTTTTAGGCAGATTCTCTTAGAAATAAAAGCCTTACTAATGGAGGAAAGAAGCTGAACCCAAAGGGAGTTCTTATTTCAATGGAATTAAATTGCGATGAATTAGTTCATTTATAATTGGGAGATAGTATAAAAAAAATACTCAATTTATAATAAAACAATTTTTATAAGAATCTGAAATGAAATAAATACAGAGAACCGCACAAGAAAAGTTCAAGCCCACGTTCATTAGTAGTCACTTGCATGTAAATTGTCAATATTACTCATATTGCTTGCTCTACACGCCAGCATCCTTAGCGGAACCGTGAAGCAGAATGTGGAGCTACCAAAATGCATGCGCAATTTTGAGAATTCACACGAAAGTGAGTATTCATTTGCGTTGTTTTGAAGAATCTGGTAGTTGAGCTGGTAATAGAAGTCTTTCAACTGAGTAGGGATGAAAGAGTTGACAGTTGTTTTACCTTTTCCACTGATTCAAAATGATGTCCCCCGAGTTCAGATTTCAGAAACGGGAATAAATGGTGCTTTATTTTGCCATTTATTACCGTATCTAAAATCTGAACTCGCAGTGGAAGAGGTAAGACAAGCCGTCAACACTTTCATCCCCAGCCAGTTGAAAGACTTCTACACGCGTGGTATCCAAAAGCTGTTCTCTTAGTCTCACAGTCAGTATCAGACCTGCTTGGATCGAGCTGGTTATGTGGAGAGGTGAGGTAAGCCCCTTATTCTACAAAAACTCCTTTGATTTTCTTTCTCTGAAACTTTCAGTGATGAACGACTGAAGCGTTGGCAGAGATGCTCTTCTCATGTTGCGGACTTCAAATCTCCGCGGATCCAGTGGGAGCGGCGTGCATCTCGGCGCGTTCAAACGGCTCGCGTTCGGCCGCACATGGTCCGATTTTGTTGCGGTTTGTTTTGTTGAACTCAGTATATCTTAAGAAAGATTTTGAGCCCAAGTTTTTTAAAATTGGTCCATTCCTATTGATTTCAGAGAGGGGGGATACTTACTTATTGAACGCCCCTCGTATTTCATGTCACTCAATGGTAGATGTTGAGAAGAAAACAATCAATTACCTGGATATATTTCTGAACACCGACAAGTGATTTTTTGAGGGCATCAAAGCTAGAGGAGTACAACATCTTCTTCTTAACCTTAGCAGTATCTGGGCACCATGACATTAAAAATAGTTTCTGCTTCTTGGAGGCCTATTTGAAATAATTAAATAAATCAATAAATAAACATATGGAATAGAATAGAATAAAGTAGAAAGTCCAACCGCCCGAGCTGCTGACCACAGCTTGTTATACATATACAGTCCTTTCTCTCTATAACGACTAACGTTATTGACTCTGTAACGAGGGAATAGGTCAGTCCCTCGAACTTCCTAAATTAAATATCAACTAAATTAAATATCAACTATCACTTTAACGAGAATCTCTCAAGATCGAGGAAATCCGCCGGTTCCTTGAATTCTCGTTACAGAGAGAAAGTTCTGTATTTTAAAGCAACGGTTGGACTGAAGCTGAAACACACGGGGGAAAGAAGTTTGGGCCCAGAATTTGTATAAGGATAAGAAGTATGACCATCAATGTATTTTGCTTGGAAAAGGGATGAAGGGAACTCGGGAAAAAGGGATCAGACCACAAAATAGAATAACAAAATACACTAAGAGAAGGCAATTTCATTATTTTCTGGTGCTAGGGAAATCCATGAAAAATTGTAGCTTTTTGTAGGTCAGACAACCTTATTTCATTAGTATGTAGTTAAGCAGTCTTCATTGTGAATTTTCTTCTATACATATGGAGTTCATTAGTTGTATTGCTAGTCAAAGTCTCTCTGAATGCCTTCAACATGATGATAAATTTCTTCTTTTAAAGCTGTAGCCAAATCATAGCATTTGAAATGAAAGCAACTAAGAACGAAAGATGAAATGAAAGTAGGAATACATACAAGAGTAGTTTCTTATTTGGGATTTCTACATCAGAGAGAATACATACATACTTGCTCTTTCACATTGCCATTTAGTGCAATGCCTGGTTTCATGCTAAGTAGCTTAACTTGTGGTATTTGAAAGAACTTACGAGCTCCTATGGATCCTGATGCTGAGGCATGGCATTCAGAAGTTCCGTAGATAAGATACAATTGCACACATTTATAAATACCGTTATTCCATTTGATCTCTTCAACCTTTTTTACTTCTATTCCTTCCTCAACTGGGATGCTCACTCTTTCACACGTACCCTGATAAGCATCCACCCCACAATTATCCCGTATATGTTCATTTTAACTAAATGTCTCTACTTGTCTCTGATACTATCCAATACTTTGTATAAAACGTGGGGTTGATGACCATTTACCAGAAAGTATTTACTGATAATTGATATATATGCTGGACAGAGAATTTCGGGAATAGAAGCGGAAACATTTTTAGTCTATGAAAGAAGGTACTTAAAGAGCAACTGCCATAATCAGGAATCGACTCTACTTGTGCCACGACTGCATTCACCATCGATTGTTCTTGATTCGTATTTTGCTAAAAATTGTAATAGTTCGAGTCACTCAATCACTAACATTAACTCTACTCACTCCTCTACACAACCCAAGCTGAGCATTCTTTCCAAACGTATGCCTAATCTTTTTATTGAATAGAGGGTGCTCTTAGGGTGCGTCAAAAAAAATGAAAGTCTGAAATGTTCCGCTCCCCAGGCGGCAATCGATGACGTTTGGTAAAAAAACATGTTTGCCAAAATTTGGGCCANCCCCCCCCCGTGGGAATTTTGAAGATGGTGATTTTCTTGAAGCTCTCAACTAGTAGAATAAGATTTTCCTTGTTTACGCGAATTTTATCGTGGTGGAAGGGAGTAGGGCCCCCCCTAAACCCCCCAAAATTGCTCAGAATTCCAACTTTTCCGCGAATTTTCCCACTTTTACCCGAAAAGGCTTGATTTTAGGGCAAAACTCCACATAACCATTCTGAAAGCTCGTGAAATTCTGGTCTAGAAAAGTCTTAAGTGACTTTGACCAGGACCCGCGGTACCCCAAAATGGGGGGGGCTTTAATTGTCAAAATATCTCATTTTCCGCGAAAATGACCGTTTCGCCGCGATTTCTCGCCAATAACGCGAAGAAGGTTGGTATTATCGTAAAATCGTTTACCCCTATAATAACAGAGCATTAATTTTTCATTCTAAGGGCGGCCTAACCCCTCGTGGAGGGGGGGGGCCCCCCAGCAGTACCCACCCTATAAAAACCGTCAAGATTGGCCGCTTCCTTGAAGTAGCGTTATGCGCAAAAATGGGCGGCAAAATGAAAACAAGTAGCGTTTGTTCTGAGAGAACATCAATGTGGATTCTTGTGGGGGGTGACAGGGGGGAGGGAGGTACATCCTCCTCCCTCCCCCTCCCCCCAAAAAATAATCACGAAAAACGTTAATTAAACGCGAAAATTCCACTTTATAAGACGACTTCAGGGCTTGTCATTGACACGCTAACACTAACATAATTTAACGAGGGGAGGGGAGGGGAGAGGGTTTAACCCTCCCCCCTCCTCTCCCACCCCCTCCCCTCCCCCAAATAAATAATCACGAAAAAATTTAATTATACGCGAAAATTCCATACTCTGAAAGGCGACTTTCAGGGCGTGTCATTGTCACGCTCACACTAATATAATTTAAAGAAGGGAGGGGGGGGGGAAGGGTGTTAGACATCTTAGCCCCCCCAGCCAACATTAAAAAAGGGTGGGGGAGGGGTAATTTATAAACGTTACTTACTTAATAATAGGAGGGACGGGGAAACCTAGCTGCAGTAGGAGAATTTTAAGATTTGAAGGGATACGTAATTAAATCAGGGAACGTAGAGATACTATTTTATTTTTTGGAAATGACTGAAACTGAGGGGAGTTTATTCATAATTGACGGAAATGTACGTACTTAAGCTTATGTTAACATTTTTGAAACGTTCGAAGAATAGGCTTAAAGTGTATTGGATCGTTTGCCAAAGTATTCAATCATTCATTTGGTCACGGACAGATACTGCATGACTGCAGTGAACTCTGATTGACGAATAGTTATCAAGATAGTTCGACTCGGAAAAAAGCAAAATTATTTGAATGTTTGCTTCTCATTGGTTTGATTTTCATTGAGTTTGCAAGATGAAGTCAACTTCCACACCGTCAGCGGAGGTAAACAGGCTAGACCCATCTCCATGCCTTAAATATACTTTTCCCAGTGAGTATATTGGGTGTATTTCTTTCGGTTCCATTCAGTTAAGAATAGATCGATAAGCTGGCTCTTGTTTTCACACTTGCCTAAATTACTTTTCAAACTACGGGGTATTTTGGTTGGGGGTCCATTCGTAAAAAAGTATCCCTTAATCCCCCCCATAATCGCTTAATGTTTTTGATGAATTTATCACTGCAGTTTCTGTCTATGACCAAATGAATGATTGAATACTTTGGCAAACGATCCAATACACTTTAAGCCTATTCTTCAAACGTTTCAAAAATGTTAACATAAGCTTAAGTACGTACATTTCCGTCAATTATGAATAAACTCCCCTCAGTTTCAGTCATTTCCAAAAAATAAAATAGTATCTCTACGTTCCCTGATTTAATTCCGTATCCCTTCAAATCTTAAAATTCTCCTACTGCAGCTAGGTTTCCCCGTCCCTCCTATTATTAAGTAAGTAACGTTTGTAAATTACCCCTCCCCCACCCTTTTTTAATGTTGGCTGGGGAGGCTAAGATGTCTAACACCCCCCCTCCCTTCTTTAAATTATATTAGTGTGAGCGTGACAATGACACGCCCTGAAAGTCGCCTTTTAGAGTATGGAATTTTCGCGTTTAATTAAATTTTTTCGTGATTATTTATTTGGGGGAGGGGGAGGGGGTGGGAGAGGAGGGGGGAGGGTTAAACCCTCTCCCCTCCCCTCCCCTCGTTAAATTATGTTAGTGTAAGCGTGTCAATGACAAGCCCTGAAGTCGTCTTATAAAGTGGAATTTTCGCGTTTAATTAACGTTTTTCGTGATTATTTTTTGGGAGGAGGGGGAGGGAGGAGGATGTACCTCCCTCCCCCCTGTCACCCCCCACAAGAATCCACATTGATGTTCTCTCAGAACAAACGCTACTTGTTTTCATTTTGCCGCCCATTTTTGCGCATAACGCTACTTCAAGGAAGCGGCCAATCATGACGGTTTTTATAGGGTGGGTACTGCTGGGGGGCCCCCCTCCCCTCCACGAGGGGTTAGGCCGCCCTTAGAATGAAAAATTAATGCTCTGTTATTAAAGGGGTAAACGATTTTACGATAATACCAACCTTCTTCGCGTTATTGGCGAGAAATCGCGGCGAAACGGTCATTTTCGCGGAAAATTGAGATATTTTGACATTTAAAGCCCCCCCATTTTGGGGTACCGCGGGTCCTGGTCAAAGTCACTTAAGACTTTTCTAGACCAGAATTTCACGAGCTTTCAGAATGGTTATGTGGAGTTTTGCCCTAAAATCAAACCTTTTCGGGTAAAAGTGGGAAAATTCGCGGAAAAGTTGGAATTCTGAGCAATTTTGGGGGGTTCAGGGGGGGCCCTACTCCCCCCCACCACGATAAAATTCGCGTAAACAAGGAAAATCTTATTCTACTAGTTGAGAGCTTCAAGAAAATCACCATCTTCAAAATTCCCACGGGGGGAGGGGGGGGAGGGTTACCCCTTGCTGGCCCACGGTCTAAAATCCCTGAGGATTGGAGTTCTCCCATAGCTCTAGTGGCCTCCAATAACATATTCAAAGCAATGGTCAAATTTGAGCCCACCCCGAAATCTGAAATGACCTGTTAAGTGCTGAAAAAAAACATTACCAAGTTTAAGCCCCTATTTTGAGGTAAAAAATTAGTGAATCTTCAGAGCCTAAAAACATACATAGATTGATCGTTGTCAACCGCTAAATATCAGAAAGTTCCTGGATTGTGGGAGTGGGTTGATGTTAACCCTTATTATTACCCTTCATCTCTGCACAAACAATTTAACACAAGCATCTCTTAGCTACTGAACTAGCCGGGTGCGCCTGAAATGACTTACTAATAACTTTGAATGTACATCAAAAACTCAAGCTGGAGGTTGTAGTTGGGGACTCCCTGATGGGTTATTGGGCAATTTCGAAGAAGGTCATCGGAGTTTTCGGAAAAATAATCGAATTCTTGTGGTTTTTTAGGGGTAAAAT